GACATTTGTCACCTCCCCCTTCCGCCGCACCTCCTAACACAGAACAACTTTTGGATACTTCATCCAGACTTACCTACTCTGCATCTGGCAGCGTAGAGGATTCTGCCTCCTTGAGGGATGTCCTCCGTCAAGCTAAGAAGCCCGCAACCAGAAAGGCCTACCTATATAAATGGAAAAAAAATTCAATCCTTCACTGCAGCAGCCTCCCTACCTGCTATCAACCCATCTCTCTCCACTGTCGTCCGATTCCTGTTACATCTTAAATCTACCGTCCTTTCTCTTTCCTCTCTTAGAGTTTACCTCTCATCAATTGTCTCTTGCCAACCACCGACTTCTCCGGTGGCTCATTTTTTCAGGCATGCCATGCTCAAACATTTTCTCAAGGGTTTATCACATGCCTACCCAGATGTTCATCCACCTTCTCTCTGGTTTCTCTTCAGATCGTATAAATCTCCACAATGATCTTTGACCCTTGTCTTACGACAACTTACTAAACCTCTTTTTGAACCATTAGCTTGAACGTACCTTCACCTGCTTATCTTCAAAACAGTCTTCCTTGTAGCAGTCGCATCAGCTCATCGAGCAAGTGATTTAGCGGCTTTGCACCATGACTATTCTTATATAAAGTTTTTTCTCAATAAAGTAAAACTATTTATCGATATTTCATTTCTCTCTAGTGTTGTATCTCAGTTTCATCTCTCTCAACCTTTGGTACTTTCCTCCTTCTTTCCATCACCATCCTCCACTCAAGACAGTCTCCTTCATACTTTGGATGTCAAACGAGCCCTTGCTTTCTGCCTGGCTTGTATTCAACCCTTTTGGCTTTCACTACACCTGCTTGTCAGCCACCAACCTCCCAAGAAGGACTTGCAAGTGATTTCACAAACTATTTCTAGATGGGTTGCTTCTACAATTCACCTTGCATTCCAGCTTGCACGTCAGCCAGTCCCTCGGGTGATTCGCCTTCATTCCACCAGGGCACTTGCAACCTCTACTGCGTTCCTCCAGGAGTACCCCTTCCCAATGTCTGCGCTTCAGCTACGTGGGCACAGCCATCCACGTGTATCTGGCATTACAGACTCGATGTTCGACAGAAATCTGATGCAGCATTTGGATGTGCTGTTCTGGCTTCCACCTTGGCGTGACACCCTGTCTGTAAGACAGCTTGTTAGTCACCCAGGGTGTGATTCACAGCGGCCATGAAGAAGAACGACAGGTTACTCACCTGTAATTGTAGTTCTTTGAGTGGACCTCTATGATTCACAAATCCCACCTAACCTCCCCACTGTCACGCCATGTGGATTCTCGTAGTTCTTCGAGTGATCCTCTGTGATTCACACATCGCACCTAACCCCCCCACTGTCACGCCATGCGGATTTCTTTCCTGCAGCAGTTGATGTGAATGAAGGGAGAGTCTTGGTGCCAAGGTACTTATATGGTGGGGGATGTGAGTCACAGAGGTCCACTTGAAGAACTACAATTACAGGTGAGTAACCTATCGATCCCAACCTTATCCCTACTTATCCATGCTATGCCTGTGATTAGCCCCTTTTCTTCTTTTCAGAGCTCCAGGAGATAAGGACGGTGGCTATTTCTGCAGAGACTGGAAGGAGGGGTTCTAGGTCAGACCTCCCCTTCAAGGGTATTTCTCTCTGCCCATCTTCATGCAGGAAGAGCCTGTGAGCCCTGGGATTCCCTCTCAGTAATCATAGAATTGCAGACATTGCTGGGGGTTTTTCCTCATTGTAACAGATAAAAATATCTGATTTGTATACTGATCAATTCAGTATATAATATGCATGGAGCTATAGTGTATGATATCAGTTCATAAAATAATATATTGATTTAAGTTCATGAAATACAGTATGTTGTACAAGAAATAATAATTTATGCTGGGGATTTTTTGGTCACAATTTGATTTTTTATTAAATGAAAGCTTTATCTAGAGAAAATCATCCATTAGAACTAAATAAAAATTATTGTACTTCAAAGATTGCAATAAATACAACAGAGAAAAGTTTTATTTTTCATATATATACTGGTGCTTTCCCAAAAAGCAGGATAGTTTTGAAATGTTTATCCTAAAATTATATGAAATAGTTGCAATGGTAAATTAAGCCTCATCTGGAACTTTGCCTGCTATACAGTACCATTATCATTTTGTTTGACTGGAAGGGGGAGTTTATTGCCACCATAGCAAAAAAAGCCTACTCGTATTCCCGCAGAACATTTAGATTTTAAAGGGAATTTTCTCTTCAATTTACATGATCTCTTAAGAGTAATCATAAGCTCACACAAGGAGTAGGAGTTGTGTCTTTTGAGTGTATTTAATTCTGTTTCTGGGTGAGATAAGAAAAGATGATGTATATCTCTAACTTCACCATCTACTCAACTAGAAATCACTGAAAACATACGGAGACACAGCAGATGGTTTGTCTATGTAGATATGAGTCATTTTTGAGTTACCAGTTTGGACATATGGACGAAGTTTTCATACATGATTATATAAACTTCTCTTGACTTTTAAATGTCTTTCTTTTGTTCTGGTTTCTTTGTCTGCTTTTCTTCTTTCTCCTCTAGTCCTTGACCTAAATTTAACTGCTGGATCAGTGGGACTTGCAAAGTGTTATTGTTCAGCAGTTGGTTCAGTGTGTTCATTCTAGTTGAGATTAGCCATTTAGTCCATAATGTATCCTTATTTATCCATTCATTCTTCCATCCATCCATCCATTCATTCATTGCCCATCTGGCTCCCAAGGCCACTTTGAACGATTTATAAAAAAATAAAACAGCAATGTCAACATAAAATAATATGCACACAAGCATCACAATAATATAAAAATGAAAATAGACATATACTAACCGTTTAAACTTAAAAAGAAAGAAAAGAAAATGCATAGGCAGCAGGTAATTAAAAACATCCAAGATGGTGGAATTGATAGTTCAAGGACTGGAAAGAGCTCTTCATTCTATTGATGAAATATCTGGAAAAGCCTGCTTAAACAGCCAAGTTTTCAAAAGTCACTTAAAAGACCTCAGTGAAGGGGCCAGACAAATATTGAGTGGGAGTTTGTTCCACAGGTGCGGTGTGACGGCCATGAAGGCCCAGTTTCTGTTTTTCTCTTTCTAAGCCTCTCTCGGAGTCAATGTCCTCAACCATCCAGCCTGGGACAAATGAGTAGGTTGGGCAGATCTCATTGGAAGACATTCTGCCAGGTCCCAAGGTCCCAAACCATTTAGGGCCTTGTGCATTAACGTCATCACCTTGAAGCTGGCATGGAAATGAACAGGTAGCCAATGCAAGGCAGACAGGATGAACCAGCCTGCTAGGAGAGATTATGGTATTTGTTTACTCTCCACAATAATTTGGCCACCATATTTTGGGCCTGCTGAAGTTTCTGTAGTGACCTCATACACGGCCCAATGATGCTTGCACATATCCCAAATTTATGTTTTCCTAACTGCAGCATTATTCCTTTTTGGTTCCTTGCATCAGTACCAATGTTCCCTCTAATTTTCTGTCAATGCTGGCCAGGGCCCTGTCCCATGTTCCCGAAGTTATAGCTGTGATTGGAACCAACAATGGCTATGGGTGCATGGCACCAATGCAGCGCTACACAGCCACATGCCCACACAGATTAGAGGGAATATTGGTTGGTACCCTTCACTTCAGGGGTGATGAACTACAATTGGATTATCCTCCCAAACAATAGTAGCAGGAGCTCTCTGTGGGCCTGATGGCATCAGATGATGTAGCCTTGCCCCCCAGTGCCATTGTGTTGGAGCTCTTCTACCGGCACTTTCTCCAGGGACTCAGCAGAGGAGGAGGAGAAGGTACAGAGTTGCTTTGGCCAGTGTTTGCTCATGCCAGCTGACAGCATGTTTGGCTTCATTCCTCCTGCCACCTTGTTTTATGCAAAAAAGGGGAAGAGAAGCAAAGCCTGAAAAAGAATCACTGGTATCTCTATACAGTGATCTGAGAGCATAGGCTCCCTCTAGGTAGCCTCCAGATATGGGGCCTGTGGGGAAGAGGATTGCCTAAGGGCTTCTGTGGGCTGAATGAGGAACTTGCATGATTTGGTTAGGCCCTTGAACTGAGTTTTCCATGTTCTTCTAGCTCTTTCTTTTATAATGTCCTGAATAAATGTAATAGCTTTTCACTATGGCTCATTAAGGCTGATTTGCTTCTCTGTGTGCTCAGTCAGTCATTGTGGAAACCTGCTGGGAGAAGGGTCTGTTTTTTTCTATACATCATCTAGTTCCTGGTGGCACTTTGAAAATCTATACTATGGATAGTATAATGGTCTCATTCCTTGCTTCACATCAGAAGCATGGAATTAGGACTTGGGGGTAGGCGTACAGTGCTGCTCATCTTAGTATTGAAATTATTGAGGAAGAAAGTATTGCTTGTGACAGAGTCTGATCAATCTTAGATCTCATGTACAGCTAATGACCCCTATATCAATGGCTACTTTTGCTTTAAAACTAATGAGCAATAGACAATTCTTCTGGGTCAATTTATTATATGTGCAATTCTACTTGTGCTCCTTTTTCTTCAGAATTCAAAGCTTGGATCTGAAAGTGACATAGCTGAGGACAAGAGGACTTTAAAGGAAAGAGTATCACGGGTAGCTCAGTGCTTAGAACGGAAGGAGGAAAAAGCCCGAAGCCGTACAAGAAAGCACCGAAGCTTGATCTGCTTGGATGACATGGGTCAAGATGTTGTTGACTTGCACCAAAAACCCTACAAGGAATCAAAGGCACTGAAGAAAAGTGAGAACAAAACCAGTCAGACTCACCTGGAGTCTGAGAAGCAGCTTCCAGCAAATGTTATTCAAGAACTCCACACTGTCTTGCAGAGGCACAAAGCTTTTCATGAAATGACATAGAAATAATTTTTCAGGTTTATACATCAATTACCTGATTATTCTTGGAAGTGAAATTCATTGTCTATGTACAGGTCATCAAATGTATTTATATGTAAATGTTGGTCTTAAAGAAAAACAGGTGCTATATATTAATCTGAGAGTTTTTATAGTACTGTGTAAGTGTGGTGGCAATACTTGCAACATTTATATATTGCACCAGTCCCATCCTTTGTGTGTCCCAGAACAAAGTTTCCCAGTTTCATTAGCCCAGAAGGAGAGGTTGCTGAAGCAAAACTGCTCAGAGGTTGGGCATCATTGGCTATTAGCTTGAAGTTCAAGATAAGATGACATCAAGGTGAAAAAAGCAACAACTGTTTTCTAACCCTAAGAGGTGGCTATGCTTCTGCCTTCTATTCCTTGTGGCTCTTACATACCTTCTGAGGAGAAAACAAGACCAGAAGAAGCTGCATAGCCAACATGTCTTCCTTACATTTCTGATCCAGGTGGGACATTGAAATAGGATTATCTTTTGAAGGGCCACAGCTAGCTACCTTTTCTCTAGCATACATACAGTGATCTTGTCCAATTATGTATAGAACTAGGTGTGGAATATCTAATCTGAAAAATAAACTGGCTGCTGTTTAATAGGCTAAAATTCAACAAAATTTACAGTGTTTCTGCTTCCATATTTAGGTTTCGTGTTGTGTCTTATTACAGGAGTGTGATTCACACCTCACCTATTATGGTCAGTGCTATACATTTTGTGGTAACAGAACTGGTGCATGTTTGCTGGAAAGAACACTAGTGTGGCAGCCATAGTCTTGTTTGGACTGATAAATACACCAGAGCTCTGCCATGTTCAGTGGTTAAGCTTGGCACGCTGTTGGTGTTAGGCTCAGGTGCCACTGATGCTGCACTAGCTCATGGATCTAAACACTGGCAGGGGCTCTGGAGTTTCAGATTCAGTGGTGTCCAATGTCCTAAGTGAGGGCGTGTCTCTCTACTTTCTAATGATGCTTGGGCCTGGCATTTCCTCTGATGGCACCACCATTTCCTAAGCCTTTAAATACAGGTGACTGACAGACTCCTGCATCTTGACAGGTTTCTTATATCTACCAACATGTACATGAATTTAAATCAGTATGGATGTACTCATTATTTTGAAGACAGGAAGGCCTTGCGTGCTGTGGTCCATGGGGGTCACGAAAAGTCGGACACGACTAAAGGACTAAACAAGAACAACTCATTACTTTAAAGATTTTTCTGTAGTTTACGATAAAGTTGGGATCAATGGGGCCAGATTAATTATTTGTATTTATTTAATTAAATATATGTATATATTTAATACATTTACACTGTAAAATCAAGTCCAGTTTATGGCGACCCTCCCAGGATTTTCAAGGCATTAAGTACTTAGTAGTGGTTTAGCAATGCCTCCTTCTGTGGCTCTCTAGGAGTCTGTAGCTTGCCCAAGGCAGCACAAGTGGGAACATCTGCAACTTGCCCAAAGCAGCAGGACAATAATCCCATCAGTTACATGTTCTCTCGATGGTCTCTGCTCGCCTCTCTCCTAGCAGGCCCAATGGGAATTGAAACCTCTGGTCCAGCAGCTAGCTGCTCCAATCTACTGAGGTATACTAGCTCATATATAGATACCACTTCCCACAGAAATCCCAGAACAGTTCCCAGCAACTCTATAAAACAACCCAGTAAAATAGAATTGGTTGGGAACAACAGGAAATGGTTGGGGAAGGAAGGGTTCATTGGCCAAGGAGAGAATTTTGAATGGTGAAAGCAGAAAGTTAGGTTTTCAACCACAATATAAATTGCATCAGGTTTGGAACATTCTGACATTCTACAGAGTAGAGATTCCACCTGGTAGGTCACATACTAGATGACAGCTTGCTCTCTGCCACTGTGAGGTATGGCAGTAATAGTGGCCTTCTCTGAAAATTATAATGGGTTAGTGTAAGTGATAAATTGAGAAAGGTGTTCTTTGGCTATGGAAAGACAGCTGCTGCAAAGAAGGGGTAGGGACTTTGGGATATTTCCACGCAAAGCCCTTGTTCTGAAAACCTGAATAAGTCTTAGCAATTGCACTTAGGGCCAATATACTAGAATCGTTAACAGATGGTGGATGAAATCTAAAGTGACACTACATGTATCCAAGCATTGGGGCATTTTCAGTAGAATTGTCAGCCTTTGTTTTTTTTAAAAAAAATGAAACATTTTATATGAAAAGTTTGAAGCCCCCTTGGAGGTGCATAACTTTGTCATGCACGGCTTTGGAGCCAAACCATTGTTGTTTCTCTTTAAAAAGGCAAACCTTTTTTAAACAAAAGAACTACTGTTCTTAATTATTGCAATTTGAATTCTGAACTGAGATTATTTTATTTTATGTTAATACCATATGTTTTTCCTTACAATTATGCCATGCTAACATAGCCAATAAGCCTGTTTGTCTTTTGAATCTCAACATTAACTCACCCAGAACTGCGAACAATTTTACATCTAGCCATTATGAGTAAATTGAGGTTGGTTTGTTCCAGATATGAATAGGTTTAATAGCTTGTTTTCTTTCCAGAGTTGATTTCCAATATGTGCCAATTAAGAGCTAATCATGTTAGTGTTTGAATAGTTTTGCCATTCACATTTACATAGCTCCCTTATTATTGGGGGAAAAACATGTTCCAGAATTGTTAATTCAAGTCTGCCATTATTTTCCTTGACTTAATATTAGCAACAGTCTGTAATCCTAAACACACAATAGCCCTCTTTACTTGTTAAGCTTCTTGGTTTGTTAAACATATACAAGGAGGAGAAGCGAACAATTTCTGTCCCCTAGTATTTTTTGACATCCTGTAAGCAGGAAATGTCCTCTTTAGAATGCTACCTTCCACATGTAGAGGATAATGGAGGAGGCAAGCTTAGAGCTCTCTTCATTTTCATTTGTTTAGTTACCACAGAATTGAACAGCTGGAAGTTTCATTAAGAAGTAAATCTTGCTAACTTCTGAGAATTCAAACAAATCTTGCAACATATGTACTACCCCTTCTCCCGGGGAGGGGGGAGGATTCTAAGTGAGCACAGCAGAGCCTTGTTCTCCGCTCATCCTCCCCCATATTATTGTCCCAAGCAATAGTGAGAAACCACTTTCAGGCTGTGGACCAAATTCCATCGGACCAACCTCCAACAGTGGGCAGTACCAAAAGCAAAAATACTGGTTGCTGTAGCTTAAAGCTCCTACTGCCAATAACCAAGTATGAGGAGAGAGAGGCATTTTATGCTGCTGATTTGCAACTACATAGAATGTGTGTTTTGTGGGGGGGACTGTACAAAAACTATGATACATTGGGGGGATTCCAGAGGGACACTTCTGGGTCCAGAGCCTGAGGTTATCCTCCTCTGCAATAGGCTATTGTAACAAGCAGAAAGCATCCTCTATATTCCCTGTGCCCTTCTTTCTCCACTTAGTCATAGCCCATGCCTTAATTGAGTCAGGAAGAAAAAAAGAGCAGACAGGAAAATGGAAAGTTGTACTTCTGTTTTTAATAATCACCTGGTGTAGTTTGGAATGGTGGGTGACTCTTTGCCCTGGGCTTTGTTTATTGAAGTTACCTGATGGAGGTCTCTATTTTTAATAGGGGGGAAAAGGTGATATTTCCAGTAGCAATGAAATAAAACCTTACTCCACGTTCAGTAGTGACACTGAATCTATCCCTTTTTTTAAAAAATCCCTGTGCCCATTAACTGGCAGTAGTGGAGGAAGAGGGCATCTCTACTACTTTTCTCAGTTTCCTAACACCTAGAATTCTGTAAGGGACATGGTTCCAGTGGAAAAAATCATGGGGACTGTTAACAAAAGAGTGTTGAGTTAAAGAAGAATATTGAGAAGTTGGAGTGTTTCCAGAGGAGTGTGAAAGGTTTTGCAAGCCAAGCCTTGAGAAAAACAGTTGAGGTAGCAGAGGTATGTTGAGTCTGGCAAAGAGAAGGCAGTGAGGCAATATGATAGCCTTCTTCAAATACTTGAAGGCCTGTCCAATGGAAGATGGAGTGGGCTTGCTTCGTGCAGCTCCAGAGGGTGGTTCTCAAATTTATGCATTTAAATTCCAGGATATTTAAACTCAACGTTAGGGAAAACTTCATACAATGAGAACTGTTCAACAATGAAATGGACAGTCTGGTAGAGTGGTGGAGTCTCCAACACTGGAGTTGGTTAAACAGAGGCTGGATGACCACCTGTCAGGGATATATTAGTGGTATCAGGCTGGACTTGATGATCCTTGCAGTTTCTTTCAATCCTAATCTATGATTCTATGACCTGATTTAAGAATAGAAAGGTAAGTACAAAAAGGTTCTTCTTTGTGGCCTCATTCTCTGGGTTATCCGCTCCTGCGCAGAGCTTCATCAGAAGATTCTAGAGTTTCTGCGGTAGCAATAAACATATTAGAATAAGCCCCTCCCCCATATAAGTACCTTGGAGCCAAGCCTTTCCTTTCAGTTTCTTTCACCCGCTGCGTTGAGAGCCTCATGTTCTTTCTGCTGTGAGTAAAAGAGAAAGAGTTTAATCTTGATTCCTTTTTATTTTATTTTTAATCATTTATCTTTGTTATAATAGATCAAATTCAATAGTACTATTAGTTTTCTTTCCCCCCTCGCTCGGCATTTCAGCCGCAGCATTCCTCCCCCACCCTTCTTTCTTTCTTAAATCAATTTTTCCCACTTTTCATGGCCCCTTTGGGCCCTTTTAAGTACTGTGTGGTCTGCAGTAACAAAATACCACTTTCGGACAGCCACGCTAAGTGCCTCTTTTGTTTGGGAGAAGCATACCAAACCTCCTCCTGCACCCATTGTAAGAACTTCAAGCGCAGAGTCCTCCGATCTCATTGGTCTAGGCTTAAACTCCACCTTTGGGAGCAATCCCTTCAACCAACTAAAATGGCCCAAACTCCATGTAAGGAATTTCTCAAACCAAAGCGATGGAAAAGGCTGTTTCCGAATCTTCAAAACAACATCCATCAGCCACACCATCTCACTCTGATGCTCCACCCACATCGTCAGAGACCTCTAAAATGCATAAGTCGAAACCCTCCATACCAAGATCCTCGGCATCACTAAGCGCCAGAGGTCTACCGAAGCCTCTTCAGCTCCGGAGCCTTCTCCACCTAAAAGAAGCAAACACCATAAACCCAAACCTACAGTCATACCTCAACAACCATCTGAGTCAGTTTCAGTTGGTTCTCCTTCTAATGATGATGGACTCCTGTCTCACCAACCTTGTTCTCAGTCACCGGAATGGGATGACAGAGTCTAACATCCTCTCCCCCCAGCCCGCAACACTCTATTCGAGCAACCTCTCTGTTGTTGCTTTGTCCAATGGAGTCCCTCCCGAACAACTCGACACCATCCCCTATTCAGTGCAATCAGATCGCCCACCGATCCTATGCAGAGACATTAACAACAATCTCACAAGCCACCTGCTACATCATGACTCCATCAGTACTACTTAGCTCACCAGAGTCTGACATTGATGCCAACCCACTGTCACCGGCAGAGGATTTTCAGACTTATGCCCAACTTATTATCCGTATGGCTAAGTCCCTTGACCTCCAAATTCACCGTCCATTGACGGAACCAGCCAATCATCTCCATGATCCAATCTCTA